TCCTCCAGGTGCTGCTAGCTCAGTGTATATGTTTGAAGAGCAATTTATAATGAAATAAATGCTTATATTTAGTAAGTCCACAGCCAATGGACCTGTTAGTTTTCGTTCGTCTGAGTGACTCCCTTTGCAGTGTTTGCTTGGTTATTGTGCTCTTCCATTGAGAAGGAATGGCTGCATGTTTCTGGCCGTGTCATCACGAGTTGTGAGCGACAAACCAAGTGACATGATTTATTTGATTACTGCAGTGCTTGTGAATAGCTCAGCACTGACAGCCTGGGAGGAAAAGTACCATTAAATGCCCTGGGATAGGCATAAGATGGGTCACAACACTAGAAGGTTTTCTCTTCCAGCCCAGGCGTTGTGCCTCATTTCTGAAGTTACCATCCTATTGACTTATTTGCTGGGCTGTCACATCAGCTATAGCAGTATTTTTGACACCACTACATTTCGTGACATTTGTTCCTTAAAAAATGGGAATAAGGTCACACTAAGCAGCTGTGAATAGCCATCAGCTTTCAGTCACCACCAGCCTGGATGACATTTGAAACAGCAGCTTTGGTTGGGGATGAAAGGCTCTGTGTCCTACTAACAGTGCCTTCAGCCAGTCAAAGATGGAAGTAGGAATGAGAAGTCTGAGATGCATGTTTAAAATTGCAGAAACAGCACTTACTATGAAGACATCCTTTGAAATAGCGTCTAGAGGGCAATAGGAGTGTGCTTTATTCTTTAATTTTTTTTTGGTCTGAAAACTTATTTTTTAAAATTATATTTCATATCTTACATGGGGTCCCAGTTAGTCCGCAGAAAAAATATACTGCTGATTGGTTTTACTGTAGTATATAGCTGAAAATACAATTTCCATTCACAGAAAAGCCTCTAACAGGGTAAGTGACACTTTTTTAACAGTATGTGTCAATATTTAAGTGATGCCAACACTGGACCTACAAGCATCTGGTGGTTCTGATAAACCATGGCAGCTCCTGTGTTACCAGTGCTCTCACCCAGTGTCAGTAAAGTTGAGCAAAAACTGAGTACCTGCAAATGTAATTAGCTTAATTTATTAAATATTTATGAAAAAGTGAGAAAGCATCACTTTATGAGGTTAAAATAGGTGTGTTTTGGAAAGACAAAAAAACTAGTTTATGAGAAAGAGCATTTTGAGGTGTCTTGCTTGTATCTGTATATACAGACACGGTGGTGGCTTGTAGAAAAGCATCTGTTGAGCATGCAAATGGTAAACATCTCAGCAGTTGTTTATTTGAGAAGATAACACTTGAAGATGCTGATACATATGCTCCCAAAAGCCTTTCCTCAACCAAGAAGAAGTTTCAAATAAAAAACTCCTTATTTTTGCATTATTTCCGAGTTTACATCACAGACATCAAGCTTTTGGGTTACTTGAAACCTCAACAGAGAAGGAGCGTTTCTTTCTCTTCAAAATGGCAAGAGAGTAGTTTACTGCCTAGGTCATTTGTCTGAGTTGTAAATTACAAAGCATGAGTTATGACTAATCAGAGAAAGCCGTATTATGAAACCAACCTCAAGAAAAATAATTGTCCCCTAAGTTTCTATGCTTTCTTGATATTTGAATTGCAAAAATCACTTCTTAGAGCAAGAATACAAAACTCCTCAATTTATTACTGAAGTCAATATTCCAACTGATGTTTTATATTGTTTCTATTCCTGCACTCATCTTTAGCAGCACCATAATAGCTGAACAGTTTTCCTAAATTTTAGGAAATACTGATCTTTACATATCAACTATGGTATTTCTTATGGCTCATTCTTGTTTAATAGGACTGAAAAGGGGAAAACTGCTGAATGGTTGTGGGCTTCATGAAGAAGAGTAATTTTGAAATTCTTGTCAAATTGCAGTGAGTGTACAACTAAACTGAGATTTAATTACGTTTTTAATTAAAGGAATAGCTATTGATTATGTCATTGAATCTGTGTTGTAACCAGCCCTAACAACTAGCAATATTAAACCAGATCATTAAACTAGTTGTTAAAATTCCATATTAATGAGAACAAGACTGGTGTGGATAAAAGGCACTGCAATGCTAGGTAGAAGAAAAAGATAACAAAGTAAAAAATACCTTAATTTCTCAAATTTTGGTGAATGATGGTTTTATGTCCTGTCATTATTTATTATAATCCATGGATTAAAATGAAGATGAAAATGGAACACTTTTTAAATAAGAAACATGGGTAAAGTTTCATCTTAAAGGTGAACAGTGATTCAGATAATATTTCTCACAAGCTCATGTGAAGCAGGATATAATCTGTCCTATTCCAGAGACCTTCCGATTGCTCAGGAGCAACCACGTCTACTACTCAGGCGGAGATAAAGGGCAAATAAATGCCAGCGGTCAGAGCAGTAACAGCATGGGAGTACTGACAAAACCACAGGCAGCTGTGGTTGAGCTGGCTGCTGACAGCTCACCCTGCATCCAACCTGCAGTTTTCCTGCTGCCACAGAGCCGGTTCTCGCCCAGGCCCATGGGGCGGATGCCTGGTGGTCAATAGGAAGCCGTTTTCTGGGCACTGGTGATGGAGAGCAGATGGGAAACCCCAGCTGCCCACCTGAATGTGAGCAGCCCCGTTTTGTCTGTGCAGGTTCTCTGTGGGTGTGGGTGGCACTGTGGGTGTAGGTGGCACTGCTGACTGGCAGGCCAGTTCTTTGCCAACACCCCTTGGCTTGTGTGAAGCTGTTATTTGGTACTCTCGAGAAAAAGTGTTCTAAATTTGGTTTAGACTTAATTTAAGTGATTTTAACCTGGAGGCAGCTTGTGCTGATCTCTTCCCTCCTTGTGCTACCACTTTTACTGCTGAAATGATCTCACTGGAGCATTTTGTTCAATGGGAGTAGCCCCTATGGATAATTACTGCAGGAGCCCATTGCTTGTGGCTGAAAGCTGCTCTGAACAGTGAAGTGTAACAGGGAGATGGGGTAGATGATCTCATGGGTATTTCTGTTTCTGTCTGTTACAATTTCTGTGCATATAAAACCATTTTAATCCTTTCCATTCAAGTGCATTGTATGCACAGAAATGTTTTCTAAGTAGTGACACAAGGCATGCTGCTACACGGGCAAGGTTATAGTCAGACCCTATGACTCAGTTGGACTAAGTTATTGTTTGAAATAGATTGGTTTAGAATGAAACGTTTTTCTTTTTAGCAGATTTTGTAGTTGAGTATATTTTGAATGTTCTGTGTATGATGCCATTGGCTATTTTGTGAAGAGACTATGAGGGTTGTACAGATCTCAGCGCCCAAGAATTAGGATGTAGTAGAATGAGAAATGTCTGTAACCTTTATTTGACTGTGTGGTTTTATGGAGTATGATTCAGTCCTAGTGACTTTCCTTTTCCCATAACCTCTGGCTTCTTTAAGTGTGCAGGTGGCACAACTGTGGCAAGTGCAAAGAATGTGGCAGTGGCTGCTGAGCTGCAGAAAGTGTGGGGAAATGTTTGGTAGAGGCATGAACAGTCTTTAGGAACAGAAAGCAATTTCTTGTGACAAAAGCATTTTTCTTCCTATATTGCTCCTATTATGCATGGTGGTGTTCTCACATTCAGAACCCAGATAACAAAACGTTTTCTGTGTCTAACAAGTAATAAATACAGAAGAGTGGATTACTGAAATATAAACTGAGAGAGTCAGATATAAACCTCAAGACAGTAAAAAGGTTTAATGACCTGTAATCAGGATTTACCAATGATTTGTGCTTAGATAATGGCATCACTGGTTTTTTTTCCAACACACAGGATATCTTTTACTTTACTTCAGGCAGGTCCCTGTTCCTTGTAACTGCTAAACTACAGGATGTTATGATTATAGATGTAGTGACACTGTTGTTGCAGAATCACTGCTGATAAATTATGGTGGGATGGCAGCTGTAAATACAGCTTCTGTTGTGATTTAAGAGGAAGATGTGAAGGCATATTGCCCAGATGCTTGATCAATGGTAAATAGGGCCAGAAGCAGAATGCTAAAACTTGAAAGTCTTTGCCAGATTTTCGGATTTGAAGTCATCGTTTTAAGCATTAACTCCTCCAGTATCAAAATAATCATCTGCTCTGGTCCTCCCCCTCTCCTTTCTCTCCAGCCAAAATTTATTTACCTTTGCAAGCAGGAGCTGACACACAAACCATTTTTTTTTTTCAGTAATTTTTTCGAGATACAAGAGCTTCTTTCAGCAAGCTGCCAAGTGGTCAGTGCCTATTTGAGCTTCAGTGCTTGTGGCTTCATGCCGGGTCCCCTGTGACCTTCCCATTCACCTGCTTAAGTGTCAGGAAATGTGTGGCCGTTTGGAGCTGCGCGGTTGTGCTACTTAAGGCTGGAGATACAATAAACAAGTCATTACAGATTAGTGTAATAAAACACACCAGAGGCAAAATCAGCTATAATCAGGATTCATTTGATGCAAAAAGGGTACATAGCTTTGGTCACTCAGCCCCCTACTCTGTAGATGACAGTCCTGTGCAGGTAATACTCATACTGACTGATGAAATGGCAAGAAAAATGTTAATATATAATTGTTAACTTCCCAGTGATTTTTAACCTGGCTTCTTTCAGAGAAACCCCATGCATCCTGATCTGAAGTCTGGTAGATGCTTGGTTATTTTTTTCCTGAAATGAGAAATGAAAATAACTGCCTCCCCAAGATCTCCCTGGTTTTCAGACTAAAATGGGCTGTATTTGCATTGATACTGAGGATGAAATGAGGATTGGCAGACTGATGTGTGAATTTGCACACATACAGGGACTCAGGACAAGGTCTTATATTGTTCATTAAGCCAAGACATCTTAGACTGTCTCTGCTTAAAATTCAGTCCTATTCAGTAAAAGGGACTTTTTCTCTGGTCTCTTTAATGTCACATTCCATTTACCATTGTAATAAATGCTGTAACTTGTTTCCCTCTCTCCTATCCCTCAAAAAATGACAGAGAGGAATCCTTTGCTAAGCCTTTGATAACGGTTCTTTCTTTTTGTTCCAGATAACTTCAAACAAGAAGCACTTGGAGAGCCTGAAGAATGATGGCAATGCTCTTATCCAAACTCTAGAGAGCCTGGCCCAAACTGCCAGGTGAGTTCCCTCGGGCTTCCAGGAATTTCCAGGGCTGAGAGCGCTCCCCTCCTCTTCTGTCTGCGATGGTCTTCTCCTGTAATTCTGTGCAGTATGAGCGTCTCAGGTTTCTGTCCCTGCCCCCTCCCCGCACTCCCTCCTCCAAAGTGCTCCCATTCAGCACTTACGGCATGCTTTGATCCTTTGATCTCCAGCTGGGTTGAGCCGCAGTGTGCGGCCCAGTCCGGCTCCGTGGGTGTGCCCTGGTGATTTTGCGGCTTGCTTGTTTTTATAAATTTATGATTTTATTGCAAACACTTGGTCTCTATAACCGGATACCTGTCAGTGGTTCTTGGCAGAGTGGACTGGATGCACAATGCGACGTTTGTGCCCTCTTTTAAGGTGACTGTGTTTGGTGCACTTGCAAGCTGATTCCTTTCAAATGTGCAGCTGAGGAACAGAACTGCTTTTGTTTAAAAATACCTGTGGCCTCTCCAAGAAGGCACGAGACTTAGGGGAGTGCCGTGGCCTTCTCTGCATGAACAGAGCTGCTAGTCCCAACAAGTTGGCCAAACCTTAGCTCATCTCCCATAAACTTTGCCTCATCTAATCCCCTGTGGACATATGAATGAATGAATGACTGTTCTCTGCCCCTCAAAACAAATTTTACACTTCTGCTGTGGACTGTTAGGCTTCATTGCGCTCCTGGTTGGACTAAAATTCATGGAGAAGTTGTAGTTTGTAAGTCAGATTTTGAAGCACTAAGAGAATCCTTTCAGTGCCCTTTGTGCTCCCAAATGCAGACTTCTGGAAAATTGGCTCCTCAACATTATGTCAGTGTGGAGAGGAAATACTGGGATGTGCTGAGTGTAAGGAGATGCACTCTGGAACTAACCAAACCTGTTAAGAACAGTCAGTATCCCTCTCACACACTCAGCTGCTGACTCACAGGTTTTTGTATGACACATCATATCTGACTAAAATAAAGCATCAGCTCTCCCCAGGGGAGACATGGGCACCACCACTGAAGATGATAGTGGAGGAAGATGGGGTTTCTTCTGTTAGAACCAGCTTTCATTCTGTTTTGTAGCATTCTAGTGTTAGATGCACTAGACAGCCCCATCACTGTCTTTGAGTGCTTTTCTGGCTTCCTCTATAGTCTGTTATAGTCTATACATTCCTGTATGCAGAAACCACATGGTACAGGGTCCACATAAACAGCACTCACTCTTATTTAACACAAGATGCTCAGTAGATGAAATTCTGGCTGATGCCATTGAGGAGTGGTTTGATACATTAGAGCCAAGTTCCTCTGCTGTGCTGAGCTCCTGCACTGAGAACTCACTGATTTCATTTCCCCTCCTCCCCTTCTTTAGGGAGCACATGTCCCTATCCATTTGCCTCCAGAAGAGACCGAGACACTACAGCCTGGATCTTGGGGCTGTAACGGACTCAGACACGGATAAATTGGCAACAGGCAGGCAGGCAGGAGAAGCCTGGAGTTAGCATGCTTTATCAGATTTAGTTAAATGGCCATTTGTTTATGGAGGGTATGGATATTTTGCCTTCTCTTCAGATTCCCTTATGTTGCCATGTTTCCTTGTGACCTAAAAAACTTTATCTCCTTACCTGTGCTTTGAACCTGGTTAAGGAGCCTCCCTGTATCTCACGCAGAATTGGAAGTGTTTTAAAGAAGGCTACAGCAAAGATCCTGGATGTAAGCCATCCTTGGAGTAGTCCAAGCTCCCAGGCCCTTCCACCCACACACTACCACTGAGTTGAATTGATTGAGTGGTTTTGCTTTGCTCATTTCTTGCAGACAGGTTTCTAATCTCTCACTCTTCCTAAGTGTTAGAAGGGAGATTCCAGCCAAGCAGTCACATGCCAGGAGGAGGGCACTGCTTGGATTGCAGCTGCTTTTGGTGCACCCCTGTTGCCCTGTAGCAGCCATAGGTTATCAAACTCTATCTCTGTGATGCATCCTCAGCTAGTTGCAACAGGTAGTTTTGAGTGACAAAACCAACCCATTTTGCTTAGTAACCACCTGGAATAAAATCTACACTTGAAAATGTGGGCTCGTAGCCATTTCTCAGTGAAGACAGTTGCCAAGATGAATTTAAATCTGAAAATTCAGTTATCTGAAACAAACTGCTGCTCCTTAAGACATTGGCTTACATAGTGTGAACTGATCATTTGGATTTCCTGGCTAGCTCTGCATTGCCCAAAGTGTGGAGTAGCATCAGTAGGTATTGTCATTATCAGCAGCAGGGAAGTTGCAAACTGATCCGCTGCTGTCCTTTCTAAGCTAAAGATGGGGGATGAGAATCTATTAAAAAAACAAAAAGACATGTTTCTGTGGGCAAGCAGCAATGTGTTAGAGCCTCTGTTCCAGTACTAGAAAAAAAATGTCTTTCCAGAAGGAAAAATTTGGTAAAATATGCATCCTAAAACCTTAGGTGAGGAAGCAAAGGGCCCCACCGTTTGAACTCAGGCCTGCAGTGCTGTGGGTGGAGGGGCAGTCCGCCCTCCTTGCAGGAGGTGGGCAACACCCAGAGTGGGTGCAGAGCAGCGCTGCGGTAAGAGGGCTGTATGTGTGAAAACACATCTTTCTGTCAAGCTGGGAATGTGTGTGTATAGATTCATGGGGGACATGATAAATTATATCTTCTTTTTTTAGAGTTTTAACAGAGGAGGTTGAGTGAGGTAGCAGTGACTGGGAATTTGAGCTGAAATTCATTTCTATGCAAGATTTGCAAAAAGGCACTAGTTACCTGTTACCACTTAACAAAAGTGGGCATAGAGTGCAGTTAATGGCTATGCAGAATCTTCTAACATACATAAAGGCAAATGTGGAATTTGAACAATATGCCTTCTCCCTGAGAATGTCTAATATATGTTACTGTTTTTAATTCCTAGCTCTCATGCTGATGTTGCTGTTTCTTCATTGGCATTTGAAATTCTGAGAACAGTAGGACATGGAAATATCAAGACTGCCAAGTGAGCCGGTTTTGACTGGCCCATCGAAATGTGCAGGTTTGTGTGCACTGCTCACCACCTCGGTCCTGCAGGAGCATCTTCAGATGAGCTGAGCAGATGTAACTAATTTATCAAGCTGAGTTGTAGCGTATGTAGGAATTTGGGAGGGTTCAGGAAGGGAGGGAAGCTGGTTCTAGGGGGTGGTTTGTTTCTTAAACCCCTGTAAGGATGAATTCTTGGTTACTACTTTACCTTGTTGGCATTACATAATGCAGCTCAAGTTATCTGACAGTTTGGAAGTGTAAATTAAATAAATAGTACAGTTATTTCACAATATAAAGTGTTTCACTATTTTAAGCTGCTATTAGAAATGCTCATTTATCTTTTGGACCAGATGACTGCCCTGGCTGTTCATCTTAAGGGGTCCCCTCATGCTTGTGACTGGCACTAAAAAATACCTTTTTATCAAGACAGATGATGTTCTTCACCTCAAGCAACCAGAACCAACCCCTGTGATCACACAGAGGCTGTGTATGGATGATACACGTTACCAGGTTTTTAGCCAGTAGCATGAATTTTGTGTGTGTGTGCCCCTCTGTTTCCTGCACAGCCTAAACTGCACTGGTGGAGTGTCATTCCCAGCTGCCCATGCTCCTGGCTGGAGCTCTTCCTCGGAAACAGGTGTGATGATGATCCTGGCAGTTTGGCATATCCCTAGGAAAAACTGGTACCCTAGGAAGGATCCCTTAGAGCTTCCAGATACCACAGTGTGTAAAGAGTTAGTCTTCTCCATATATGCTATGAAGACCACTTCTTTCTTAATGTCTGTCTGTCAGCGCAGCAACTCTCACTTTCCCACCACACCTGCCAAACACAGGTGCCTATTGGGAATTGCTGCTACACCACCTGCTCTTGGACAGCCCAGTTATCCACGGGATATGGAGAAATGCAAACACCCCTGGGTAAACAGATTTCACTGTGTGTTTTAAAGGAATTATTTTCTCATATTACTTCAGATATCTCTGTGTATCTTTCATAGCTTAATAGCTGGAGTTAATAGGAATGGGGAAAAGTTCGGTGGTGGCTCTTATCTGGTGCAGTGTTTTACAATAATGGTCTTCTAGCACACGGTGGCGGAGAGGAACAAAGCGTGTTACTGGGTGAGACTTCCCCCTCTGCAGCTGCGCTGCCTTTGCTCTGCAGGGGAGAGGGGAGTGCTCTGGTGTGTGGTTCCCTTCAGCTCTCATCACGCTGAGCCACGAGCCTCTGCAGCCAAGGCCCTCTCTGATCTCCTGCCGGCAAACTGCTGCCTGAGGTGGAAGTGACTGGGAGCGTTTGCTCCCACCGAGGCTGGTGACAGCTGCACGGCGCAGATGTGCTCTGTGGCTTAGCCCGCACTTTCAGAACCACTTTCCCACTTCCAGCCACACAGGTGCTGTCTCCAGAGGAGTCAGTTACACACAGGGTTTATCTCACACAGTCACTGAAGACTGAGGACACCTGAAAATGGGTTTCAGCTCCCGAAGCAGCTGACAGCTTGTAAGCAAAGGATCTTCATCTGACCCTGTGATAGCACAGAGCCGAAGGGAACTGCGGCAAGGCACTGTTCTCACTTTCTGAGGCCCAGAGGTGAGTGTGGGGCTGGCAGGCCAGGCACAAAGTGTAGTTGCTGGGCTAGACCTCCCCCACGCTGAGGAACCTGCCAAAGCAAAGCAGCAGCAAGTCAAGGGGAAGAGTACTGCCTCAGAGCACTGCAGTAGGAAACCTCCAGGCTCCAAAGGGTAACTGTTTCCTAGGGGGATGAAAATGGGATTCTTGACTCCCTCCTCTGAAGTACTTAAGTAACCGTGCAATTCCAGGATGCTTTTTAGGAGACTTGTTAACACACACACAAATATACTTTGTGATCTGAAATAATTTGACACAGAGTGAATTAAAAGTTTACTTTAATTTTGAACCATTTTATAACTGCATTTTTCTCATGAAGCATCTGTATCACAGCAGGCTACAATAACTTTGGGATAAAAGGCAACTGGTAAACTGTCCAATACAAGGTTCCAAATAAACAGTTCTTACTGGCCCCTACCCAGACATATCCCAGATAAAGTTTTTGATCAAAAACATGAAATAGATCCACCTGCTTATTTTAAGCATATTAAAAAGGAAACTAATTGGACCATTTCTATTTGTCTAGTTTTTTATACAAAAAGGCTACACAATGTTACACTTTATTCAGAATACAGTTAGAGCGATTATGAATTAGTGTTCTACACCTTTACTCAATCCTTAAAAATTAGAAACTGCTGTAGCATATTCACTATAACTTAATACTACGAGAGACTTTAAAAAAAACCTAACAACAATTACTGCAAAAGGAAAGGCTACTTCCAAAGCAAGCAAGGTCAGTACCATTACAGAGATTTAAAAAAAATAATAAATTTTTAACAAGCAAGGCTAGGGTTTGATAAATTCCATCTTGCAACTCATTCTTGTGCATTCTTCGTTTCTTGAATCACTCCCAAAATCCATTTGTATTATTACTCCTCGACCAAAAAGGACCAGAACAAAAAGTTTACTTCAATTGTTCCCATAGGAAACTCAGCTTGGTTAGTGTGTCAGGCACTTTCTGAGATACTAGCCCACCCCTCGAGCCCTCTCAGCAACTCTACAGGCCAATCAATGCAAGTTCACTCAGATGATACAGCTGCAAAGAGAAAAAAGACAGGTGTCAGTGTTCCCGAGTTGTAAGGGACTGTTTTAACACATGAAGACTGCATGAAGCCAGTGCACAAGACATTACAGTTAATTACTTCCACACTTCACGGCAGAAGTCAGTTTGGAGTGTGCTGATCGAGTGTTTCCAGAGCATTTATTCATTATTCTGGCACACTGGGACCCAATCGAGCCAATCCCTCCCTGCCAACCAAGTCCTCGGTCCAGTCAGCTGTTTTTCTCTTTTTGTTCTGTTTTTAAATTCAAGGTTGGAGCTTCTTACCTAAAGGATGATTTACAGGTCAGTATCGAACCAGGCCAACTGATTACTGTCACCTGGAGGCAGCCCATCCATAAGGTCCTGGGCATGGCCAAGATCTGGCAGACCATCAACTGGGTAGTCAGCACCAGGGTGGTGGCCACCCATTTCATGTTCCATCATAGGGTCCATACCCAAGGCATCCTGACCGTATCCGCCAGAGTGGAAAGAACGGTAGCTAGGATCTAAGAAAGTTAAAGGTGGCAGAGGGAAAAAAAGCATAATGTTAACAGATGTTAGATGCATCAGAAGCTGCAAGTATCAGTGTGTGAGGAGATCGTGTAGCCATCTAATTGTTTTCTAGTTCAGCCAAGTTCGACACAGTCTGTTGCCTGCCCTTAATGGCTATTCCATTGTTTGAAACAGCCTTCCAGTATGATTCTGCAGACAAAGCACACTGCAGTCAGAAGCACGAGCAGTTTCCAGCCAAGCCATTAGTCTGCACAATCAACGGGACTAAAATTCAACAGTACTGCAGCAAAACCAGGCTCCGAGACTGCAGACTTGCTTCTAAAAGACTAGTCAAAAATAGCTCAGAATCCTTAGGGATAGGCTTGCATTCAAGTCTACAGACACTTACAGACTAATGCATTCAATAACAGCTTTGTTGTTTTAAAGAAAAACTGCACTATTGGAATTGTCAAGTCCATTTGTAAAGAATGTAATAGATTTCTGTAAACAACAGCTCAGCGGGAGCTGTTCCCACAGGACTCAGACCAGAGACACCAGTTTTGCATGTTCATACAGCTCCCATTTCAGTGCTGCCACTGGTGTTGCAGGAACTGGTTATTTGAACTGGCAGTTCCTCATCTGCCTGTCAGTTTGCAATACCTTGCTGAAGAGAAAATTCACTCTTCACTCATTTGCAGTTCTCCTTTAAAAATCTATGACTTGACTTCATCCAACTTAAGTTTAGTCAAGGGGAACAGCAGGGACCTACCATCTGGGCGGTATCCAAGAGGTTCTCCCTGGGCACCAATATCGAGTCCAAGATCTGCTGTCTACATGTACACACACAAAAAAAAGACAAAACAGTTTTAGCATCGGGTCTTTCAGCCAGCACCAGTAATTCTGAGTTTAAAAAGTTGTGCAGCTCATCCCAAGATCCCTCTGAGCAACTCTTCTGCAGTGAGCACTCACAGCAGCACGGTACTGCTGTGAACATGAAATGCCTTTTCAGCTAAGCCTCTGCATCTAATATAGGTATAATAAGCAACATGAAATAGCCAGATTTAGGTACACGAATCCACGGATCACTGGAAGGAGGGTTCTGTTTGGGAAGAAAAGAGATGGGGCAGGTCTGGGAACATTGCTCAGGTACACCTGCCCACCTCCTGCAAGTCAGCTGTTTGGATATTCCCAAGGCAGCAATAGAGCTTTTAAGAGTTCTGAAGGAACCTTTCCCATTTGTTCAATTACAGAAGTAATTGTCTGTCTGCAGAACAACTGTTTAACTCCAGTCTCAAAGAGACATTCCATATACTCCTCCCTCCGCCTCCCCCAATTCCTGTGGTAGACACAGATTTTAGGAAAACAGAGACATAAGCACTGAAATAGTGCGAAGGGTTACTGTCCCTGATGTAGTAGATATGCACAAGACAACCTAGGCTTCTGAATCTAAAGAATCTGCAGGAAGACGAAAAATTAGTGAAGTCTTCCTTCTACCCCTTGCACACAGTTTGTTTTCAGTCTCAATTCACTGTGTAGTTCCTTTAAAAACAAGGGAAGGCAACGTGTGGTAATCAGCCTGCAAACGTATTCATGTCTGAAAACTCAGTTCTGAGAGGACAAGTTCCATCCCCCCTTCAAGATTACTAATCCTACATTGCTGGCTTGATAGAAGCCCCACGTGGTATGTTTTATATTACGCCTCCCTCATATCACCCATGTTTCCATTTTTGCATCCAGAGTTCACCAGGCTTTGACAAGCAGCACAGCAAAGTACAAAGTTCTTGTATACAGCTTTGCACACTAGCACACTTCAGCAGAGAATGGAGGCTTCCTATCTGTAAGCAAAGAAGCAGCGTGAAGGCTGCTTACCACAGGTTCACTGAACCTGAACATGCAGAGAGTAAGAAGGTACGGTCACACAGCTGTGTATAAAGCTGGGCCTGTATCACTCAGGGCATCTGTGCTTCACTAGTGGGAGGAGAGAGGACACAGAACTGAGGTGTCCCCAAGGAACCATTAGCACAGAAGACATGACTCACCTCGTTCCAAGCCATTGGCTCAGTCCGGAACAGAGAGCTTGTCAATTCAACCGAAAGTCGCTTCTTATAGTCCTGTGGTTTGTCCTCAGACATTC